TGAAGTAAAGCGCATCTCCTTGCACTTCATGCTCTTTATTATTGCGCATCGCTACGCCAACCACCAATATATCTATGGCCAACAAAAACAAGATGCGGCTAATCATCGGAGTCTGTACGCTACTAGTTAAATACGGGTAATAGGATAATATTAAGAGATAATTCATGTTTTACTTTAGGAGCGCTAACACATGAGCCATGCTGACAAAAAACACCAAGATCCCGTGTATCTTGGCGCAAACAACAAAATTCGCGTATGGGATTTGCCCACCCGCTTGTTCCACTGGACTTTGGTGCTATGCATTATCGGCCTGGTGGTGAGCGGCAACATTGGTGGAAATGCCATGGAGTGGCATTTCCGCTTGGGTTATGCCGTATTCACTTTATTGCTATTTCGCTTGCTGTGGGGGATATTTGGCGGGAAATGGTCGCGTTTTTCCTCATTTTTCTATACTCCGGCCAAGGTAATTGCCTATGTACGCGGCAAGTACGATGCCAGTGATCGGCTTGGACATAATCCTTTGGGTGCATTTTCGGTGTGGGCTTTGCTCCTGGCTTTGGCTGCTCAAGTCGGCAGCGGATTGTTTAGCGATGACGAGATAGCTGCAGCAGGGCCTTTGACCTACAAGGCTAGCGCTGAGTTTATTGAAAAAGCCAGCTACTACCATACAGAAATTGGAAAAAAAATCATCATAATTTTGATTATTTTGCATGTTTCAAGTGTGATTTTTTATTTGGTTGCCAAGAAGCGCAATTTAATTCGTCCCATGCTGCAAGGCGATAAATGGGTAGCCAAAACAGCGCGTACAGTGGCTGCCAGTTTGGATAATAGCAAAACACGTTTATTGGCTTTGGTGCTACTTTTGCTATGCGCTGCATTGGTGGCCTGGATAGTTTCTGCGCCGCATGGTTGAACAGCTATACAAAAACTCGGCCAGTGAGTCGCCCGTGGTGATTCGCATGGCCAATTGGGAGAGCGAGCGCGAGGCGGTCGAGCAGATTTTGCTTGAATACGAGCAAGGTTTGGCCATAGACCTTTGCTTTCAAGGCTTCGCCCAAGAGTTGCAAAACCTGCCAATAATCTATAAGGCCCCTGAGGGCGCTATGCTATTGGCTTGGGTAGATGGGCAATTGGCAGGTTGCTGCGCCCTGAGGCCGTTGCCCGAATCGGACCATACCAACGCTGCGGAAATGAAGCGTTTATTTGTGCGCAAGGCTTTTCGTGGCTTTGGTTTAGGGCGTATGCTAAGTGAGGCAACGCTGGAGGCCGCTAAAATGGCGGCTTACGACTGCGTTTTATTGGATACTTTGGAGGATATGCAAAGCGCGCGCAGTCTCTACGCTGATTTGGGCTTCTACGAAATTGACCCCTACTACGATAGCCCCATAAAAGACGCCCATTATCTTAAAGCGGATCTGTAGCCGTCAAGGCGCGATCTTTTTTGGCCATTACGGGCTCCCATTGCGCTAGTACCATAGCTACAAGCATCAAACCGCCTCCAAGCAAACTGCGCGCAGATAAGTATTCGTGCAAAAAATACCAGCCTGCCAACGCGCCAAATAGCACCTCGCTACTCAAAATAATGGCTGCGCTAGTGGGGCTGGCGCGTTTTTGACCATAAATTTGTAAAAAAAATGCCAAGCCACCTGACAAAATCCCCGAATATGCCAGCGCGGGTAGTGCCAAAATAGCGCCTTGGCTATTCCAGCCTTCAAATAGCGCAGCGCCTATAGCCGCCACCCCCATGCAAACTGCAAACTGCACAGCAACTATACGCAAAAGACCGCCCCAATGCCCCAATTTGGCGATATAAAAAACATGAAAAGTCCACGCCAAAGCACAGCAAAGCGTGAGTAAATCACCAATATTGAGACTATGTAAGGGCATTAAACCATTAGGCATACTCAGCAGATACAAACCCCAAAGCGCCAAAAGTGCAGCGATAAACTTATTCCAGCGCTGGCGTTGACCGTGCAACCAAGCTAAAAGCGGCACTAAAATAACATAAACACCTGTAATAAAAGCAGAATTTGCCACACTGGTATATACCAAGCCGCCTTGTTGAAATAGCATACCCAAAGTAAAAAATACTCCCAAGATTGCACCAGCCTGCCATTCGCGCGGGCTAGGCCATAGGCGAGGCCGTAAATGCGGATTGCGCTCTTGCCAATTTTCCTCGGCAAAAGCTTGTAAGCGCAAACGCCATTTAGCCCCGCCCCAAAGCCAGAGTGCGCGCTGCACCAGCAAAGCCAATACGACAGTAGCCAAAGCCAGCGCAAACCGCAGCGCCGTAAATAGCCAAGGCCCCACGCTACCCATGCCACTTTTTTGCGCCACAAATGCCACGCCCCAAATGAGTGCGCACAATAAAAGCACCAAATTGGCTTGCAATCGCAGCTGGGTAGGGGTTTGCATAGGAGAAAAATCGCTTAATCTTGTGGCAAAAGCGCAAGTGCGGCGTAGTCGCCAACTTGTGCGCCCAGGCCTGCAGCAACGATTTGCACCCCTTGCAGCAAAGCGCTGGGGTAGGCTGGCAGACTTTGTTGCAGCATGGGCAATAGGTAATCGCGGTGATTCCAAAAAACGCTGCCCCCCAGGCTAATACGCTCAATATCAAGAGTAACAACCAGCGCATGCAGCATTAGCGCCAGGCCCATACACATTTCGCGCGCGATTTCCACCGCTACAGCGTTGCCATCGCGAGCAGCTTGCAGCAGCGCTTGGGCATCGGTAAACCCTTGTTTACTATAGCGCCGCGCCAAAGCGTTGCCCGCCCACATGCCCTCCACATCGCCGCGGTTGCCGCAGCCGCAAAGTGCCTGGCTGCTAGCGCCTTGCATAAACTGGTGAGCGCTATGCCCCGCATTGCCGTTTTTGCCACGCAAAACTTGACCATTGACGCACAAACCTACGCCTATACCTGTGCTCCAAGTCACATAAGCGCAGTTTTCTTGCCCTTGCAAAGCGCCCCAGCGGCGCTCGGCCTCTAGGGCAGCAATGGCGTCGTTTTCTATGCGCAAATTTGGAATTGAAGGCTGTAAAACAGATTCTAGCGCCGCATACTTCCAAAGATTGGGCAAGCCGCGCTCAGGACCAGCCAAGCCGCCGCAGATATTGGGCGCTGCCAGTGCTATTTGGCTATTTATCTGCACAAACGGTCCGCAGCAAGAAATAGCCATAGATTGGATGGCAGCGCTGCCTATGCGGCTACTAGCAGTTTGCAGCATAGCCAATACTTGCAGGCCTACTGCATCATTATTTCCTGTTTTAACAGTGGGTTCAACAACTTTTGTGTTTTTCAAGTAGTGGGCACCTTGCGCCAATTGCACGGCTATTTTGCTCCCACCAATATCCACGCAAGCCGCCAAGGGCAATGGCGATTTGGGGTCAAAAGCCAGCATTGCAGGGGGGCAGGAGAGGGTGTTCATAAAATAAATGACAAAAATATGTGCAAATGAAAGAAGTTGCTTTATACCACAGGGCAAAATGAAATAATGCCTAAAAACTGGCTCTAGCCCGCATGGATAGCGGGCTTGGCCTTATAAAACGTGCAAAGTCCACTTTGGGGGTTAAATCGGCGCGAGCCCGCTATTCATGCGGGTTGCAGAGGGTTTTTGGGCTTGTGCGTGACTTTTCTCCATTCATGTGTCTGAATTAGACTGAAAATGCTCATAAGTAGTGTCTTTGTGCAAATCTTGCCATTGCGTCACCCACTGCGCCAAGGCGTCGGCCAAACTGGTGCTGGGGCTTAGTGCGCGCAAGC